CATCGGTTTCCTTCACATGAACAAGGCTGCCCCGCACCTGTCCGGTGTGGGTGGTCCGGATGGGGCTGACTGAGTCCTGGCCTGTGGGCAGAGAGATGCACTTCAGGCTCAGGTCTGCCCACTCAGCTGCTGGCCTGCAGCACTGTGGCCTGGTGGGCCCTCCTCAGCTCAGCCTTGTGGAGGGAGCCTGATCTGTCAACATTCACTTCTGAATCTCTCTGCCCATCCCTAGTCCCTATCCCACCACCACTATCACTTGACCGAGTCACAGCCTATCCCTCCAGTCACACCAGGCCCCTGTGACTTGCCACCATCCTTCAGCCCTAGAAACTTCTAGCAGAATGTCTTTTAGGTTGAGTAAAGAGTACCCATTGCACTAACTTATTCAGGTCATGTCAGGCACTAGAACTGTGGGAATGGAACTAAAGTTTACCATCCTCAAGGATCTCATGCTTGAGAAGACAAGAAATGACATAAAGAAGCATCATTCATTTTATGAGAAATGGCCATTAGGAGGGGAGCTATGAGTTCATATCATTCAAATCTGAACTGCCTGGGGTTGAGGATCAAGGCAAGGAGCCAATGGAAAGTCAAACTAGATATATGTGGCTTGTCCAAGTCATGATATTTATTAAAAGTTAATGTTGGGCATATTGGGTTTAACTCTTCTCTCTACCTCAGAATGGACCACTCTTGGGTGCTGTGCAGCCCTCAGGCTGTCCCAGTCCTCTCTATGCTTCAGGGTGCAGAGAGTTGGCAGTCAGGTCCACAGTTCTCCTGCTATTGTTGACATCTCCACATCTCCCACATCACTGGGGCCTTCCCTCCCCAGGCTCCAGTACTCACTCTAGAGTTTGGCAGATCTGAGCTGGTTTCTATAAGAAAAATTTTAAAACTCCAAACTGCCTCCTCTCTCCCACGAGATGCGCTAGGATCTGATGTTTGAAGCTACCTAGTACAGGACAGGCCAGAGCAGGAAACTGGCCAGCATCCCTCCAAGCCCAAAGACATACTCCTGTCCCTACCATCATGCTGTCTCCACACCATGCCTTGCCAGATGGGATCTTGGTCCATGTAACTCTGGTGGCCACTGGCCACTAATGCCTGATATTTGTCACTACAAAGGACAAAGCCTGCTAAATGTTCCTGCTTGGAGTCTGTTGACATTATGGAGCTGCTCCCTTTAGTAGAAGCCCTGCATGAAACAGCAGGAGGAATCTCTACTGTGTATGTAGTGGTGGGAAGTTTCCTCGTGTCAAGATGTGAAAAAAGGTCCCACCAGAAAAGTTGAGTTTGTGACCATTTAGATGAGAGACAAAGATGAGCAGTGTGTAAGAACTGGATCCTATTCAAGACCTAGATGGGCCATGACTTGGTGGTCAGAAGACTGTGGGACTCAATTCTATAACCTCTCGTGACTCACTTTTTTTTTTTAATTTTTGGATGTGAGTTCAAGAAAAAAGACTGTTGAAAATAGAATCTTTCAGTGAAGCTAGAAAAATCTTCCTGCTGAGAAAATTCTGGTTCTCTAAGACCCCAGGTAAGGGCCGAAGCCTATCAGCAATGGTTTAAGTGGGACAGGTAAGCATGGATTCCTCTGTGCAGATTAGAGTGGGAAAATTGGGTCTATGTTCACCACTAGGAGCCTTTGCTGTGGGAGGGATCCAGAGCTGCTGACACTCCCTGGGCATGGTGCTCTCCTGCCAACACTTTATGATAGGGGCCTACAGAATCTAGAAGGTACAGAGCACTTCGTCTTTGTTCTGGAACATAATCCAAGCCACGCCGGCTTGGGTTCCTTGGTGAAGGGAATTCAGCAGTCATTCAGTACCACGGGCTTCTGTAAACCCCAGGGCCAGTTACCTTGCCTGAGGATCCTACCAAAGGTGCCAGCACTTCTCTGGCCAAGGGGTCAACACACTCAGAGCCAAATGTAACCATCAAGCTCTTATATTGTTGTTGTTATTATCCAAGGGTGAGTAGTAGCTACAGCCACAGACACACACAGGAGGGAAAGGTCCCTGTCCCTGTTCCTTTGCCAGGAGGCTTCTGACTTGCCCATACTGTGCTCCTCAGAATCCCCTCACACTAGCTCACTCCATCATGGGGTGTCCCCATGCAGCTCTGACCCTCTGTGGCTCACTCTCCAGCCCCTAATCCCCCTCATCGGTCTCCTCGACCAACTTCTCTACCCTGGTGCCTTCCCTCCAGGCTCAGGCTCTGTCTCTGTGCACTTTGGCTGATCCAACCTGGTCTCTACCACCCTCCCCATGGCAGCCTCACCCTGGCCCTGGATGAGGAGCATCAGGAGCCCATAGGCCACGAGGATGAGCCAGGCAGGAAGTCGATGCAGGGACATGGTCAACTCCCAGGGCTGCTTCTGTATTCCAGGGCTTCACCTGGAAATGCAGAGCAGCATTCTGCCAGCTGGAATTTGAACCTGACAGTGAGGAGGCAGGGAAATGGGAGGTGCCCTGCAAGGGGTGTGCTGCAGGAGAGTCACTCTGAACTCTCAGAGGTCATGGAGCCAGTGTGCAGCAGGCAGGGCCCTACCCCTCTTCTTCCCTTGGCCACCTCCCAAGGTGCCACACAGCCTCTACAGCCCCTCTGACATCCCAGGACCCCTCTCCTCACACCTGGAGTCACTAATTCCCTGTCCTTGCTGTCACAGGCTCATGAGGGTGTTGGGGAGGAGAGGAGGGAGCAGAGAGCTGGATGTAACTGGAGGAACCTGGAGGGCTTCTCTGAGGGGGCAGAATGAAGATTTCCAGAGATGGAGAAATACAGGTGACCTTGCTGGAGTGAAGGGAACCACTTGCACAGTGGCATGGAGGTGTGACTGTGACCTTCCTAGCTGACTGGGTGCCCTTCAATAGTTCCTAATCTCTTATAGACTATGTTCTGAGATCCTCTGAGGGCCCCTCCCTTCTCAGTCTGGCCCTTCTTTGTGAAGGCATTTCTGTAGA